AATTGAAAAACCAAAAAAAAAAAAAAAAAAAAAAAAATTAAATGTATGGCTCGCATGGCTCGCTAGCTCGCATGACTCGCACATTGGCTCGCATGACTCGCTGGCTCGCACTTTGGGATCGTTTGCAGCAACCCCAAACCGAACATGGTATTTCACATAGCAAATCACCTATCATAACTGCTAACTTCCTATCCTATAGCGTTAGTTTGTGGTTCGCCATTGGCCAATGTTTTGTTTTGGTGACAACATTGCCGGTGTAAGTTATGTGATTACGATCCACCCAATCACACGCGCGTATAGCAGAATCCCGTGAAACCAAGTTGGCCAAACTCTATCTCTATCTACGGCTCTGACCAGTATGAAATGATCACCACCAACGTCAGCAACATGGCCTTATACTTCAAACCAGTCGTTTTCTTTTTAAACTATTTTTGTGCTTTTTAACAAATATACAGAAAATTAACAGATGACGACTGATTTGAGACCATTTTACATGTTATAAACGTGTTCCCTAACTTCCATGGCGAGATTTACTAAGCAAGCAGAGTTTTAAATTATTTTTTTGGTAAGTATATAATGTAGTTGATATGTGCCAAATTATTTACGTTTCAGATTATATATTTTAACATCCCACAAATGCTCGTCATTAAGGTTTTGATATAGAAAAAGATTGACATTTATTCTTAAAAATACCGAAGGTCTCTTAGCGAGCAACTGTGGCTACTAGAGATATTCGGCCAATACTGAGCCTATATGTTTGCGTCGGACGCGTGCAAAATCCGGTATAATGTCGGTAAACCCGGAAGTAGCTATCTGTCGTAATACACGTGTTTGTATTGAGCTATCCTCCTTAACTGCATGTTGAGCCTGGCGGCGTACATTTTTATTGTTAAAAAGTCAATAGTTTAATAAATATTTTATTATCATTATTAAGCCTAGGGCGTTATCTTAGTTGGGCTGCCCAAGTAAGGTTGTTTCATTTGTCACCTGTCTGTATTCCTTTTTATCTTTTTTGTTGTGATAGCAATTTAGTGATGATGCATACATTTAGGAAATTGAGCACAATCAACCTCAATAAGTTTTTAGCTTACATTAATCACCTATGACTAAAACTGGTTTTTTTTGTGTCTATTTCAGGTTAAAGTCAGAAAATAAAGACCAGTGAATTTTATAAGGAAGCTGAAAATGGGCAGAGTTGAAAGAGTGAGAGGTTGACTCTACAGCTCATCATTTTTACTCCATTGCGCTGCTTTCTTGTCTACTCAATCAAAATAAGATTAAAAGTAATTTGTAATAAGTGTAATGATTTTTCAACCTTTAAAACCTTAATCAAAACCCAGACTGTCATATGTTTTATCATTTCCACTGCAACGTTATGTTTTCTTGCCTGATGCAAATTAAATTAGTTCTTTTCATTCTGATTTGCTTTTCTTTTATTTATTTTTTGTTTGTTTAATCCACTTGTGAAACCAGTGCTGTGTCAATGAAAGTTCTTTTAATAAAAAGACAGAATTATTATTAAATGTAACTGGTTTAAAAATATAATTTATAATTGGATTGCTATTGCAATTAGATACAATGTAATGGTAAATAAAATGTACAGGTAGTTTTATTTAAAAAAACAAACAAACAAACATGTAACATCTAATGAATATTGTAGAATAACGTTCATTTTATATTGTTAATAAATATATTAATTTGTAACTCTTTTCCTCGCATTTCATTCATGTATTTTGTTCTAAAAGAAGTGTATTGCAGAAATGGGCATAAAAATAGGACGAAGGGCCAAAGTATATTTTTGATTTAACACTGAGGGCTGCACCTAATTTTCCTTTAGAACTAGAGTACATACATTTTTTTTCCTGGTTCTTGTTACATCATAAATTCAATAAATAAGAGTACAGAAGAGGAGTACAATACTACAGTAACATAAACCACCAACTCCCTGCATAAAAAAAAACTATCCCACATATGCTGTACTGTCACAAGTATGTTTAACAGTAAACACAGGCTTAAGGCCTAATATAATTTTATTTTTTTAAATATGGATACATGATTTTAACAGTCCTAGCGAGTTATATCTGCCGACTGTATTACGATAACCACAGAAAGGTGCGCAACTCTAGTACTTTTAGGTCTCTAGGATAAACGGAAAAAGCATTCACAACAAACGTCCATGGTAGGTAGCCTGTAAGGGCCAAAGCCTCCCAACAGAGTACTAGGCAAGATAGGGCCAGGCTATGCCTGATCGTGAGTGATAGGCGTACGCGTTACGTTCACCGTCCTTATATCTAGGCCCGAATCCATGTCAAACTGTTGATAGTTAAAATATTGACACTTTAGATTTACGTTTTGATTGGTATTTTATAATAGAATATAGACCGTTAGCCATCGAACATATTTGCAAAATATTAAAACAATCGTCGCCATGTAGGCCTAGTCCCCATTTATCGTTTCTATATAACATTTAGGTGGTGTAATTGTTCCCTGGTTTGCTACGACGTCGATCACTGTGAGAACACGACGCTGGTATACGTATTAGTGTAGTTTACACAATAGCGAGCATGCGCAAAGCAATTGGGTCGACGTCATAATTAGTTGTAAATTGTTGATTGATCATTATTTTAATTATGAAAAGAGCGGCGGTACCATGGGTTATAACCTTTGTTGTTCGGTTCGAGATGTTTCCATCTAATTTAACTGTTCCATGATTGTTTCATGATGAAATGCTAATGAATGAATTATAATCCTATGAAAGTGCACGAAAAACGAAAAAAAAAAAAAAGAAAGAAAACCAATTTTTTTAAGTTTCAAAATTGAAAACATTGGTTTATACGACGTAACAAATGCAGAATCTCAATTTTCAATTTCAATTCATTTCAATTCAATATATTCAGAAAGCCTCCGGAACAGAAACGTAAAGTCGTAGGCCTACAATATAACTTTAAAACAATAGAACAATTTCATTAAAAAGGATAGTTATTCATACATATTCCAGAATAAATAATATAAAAAACAAGGAAAACAGAACAAAATTCTCAAAATAGAAAATTCAATCAAATCAATATAGGGGAGAGATCAGAACACCACTTAGACAGATACAAGCAAACAACAAAGCATGAAAATACTTAAACACACCAAACCACTACCAAACAAAGGCAGATTATTTTACTTGGTTTATTCAGTACTTTCAAACGCATTCTGGAAAACCTGAAAATCCGAAACTAAAACATAAAAGTGGAATGGGTACTCCACCATAAGGTGAAGTGGCATTACTACGTAGTCTAATAAAAGCTCGCCCTTGACAAACAACATTAGAACGTGATAATAGTTAGAAAGGTGATAAACGTTCCTTAACAAGTTGCTTTAAATGTGTCAATATATAAGTTAAGTGATTTTGTTTTATTTTGAGACTGTTGTATTTGTTGTGATACAATAGAAAATAGGGGTTATTTGAATATTTGGCACACTCAGAAAGTGTCCCCGTCCCCTTAATAGGTTTGTTCCCTTAATAGGGGTTGGCCGCAGTGTTAAAAGATATATCACCCCTCATTGCACGGAAATGTGTCCATTTAATAAGGGTGTCGACTGAATAGGGATGTCTCAAAGGAGGAGTTCTACTGTATTTGAGAAAAATTATTATGTTCTTGCACCATTGAATTCACCCAGACTATTATGTAATGACTTGGAAATTACATTTGATCTACATGAATACTCTACAAGATTATCAAATACTTTAAATGTTGTGAAAAACAGAAAGGTCCACTGATTAATCTCAGATAAGAAAGTATAATACATACTCCACGTATTGAAATACACGCCATCGTGTTGGGATTCAATATTTCGACATTAATTATGTCATCATCAGGAATGTTGTGCTTTTGTGCTTTTCTGGCAGCTATCATTTATTTAATATACTTGTTAGTGTTGTGTTTGTTTGACTTGTTGTTTTGTATCATATTTTGTGTATTGTATCTTTTGCCTGAATACATTTAAGTATATAAATGGATAATTTGAGGTACTTGTAAATTGATTATTGTTTTTTTTTTGTTGTTGTCTGTATGAGACTGAATCCTGTTTTGTATGTCTTTTGTACATCACTCTCTTTCTAACTAGTTTTTACTTGCCAGTTTGTATAGGGTGCACTTGTACTGCCAAATTAGCTGACTTATGTGTGATAGAGAGTCTCACAGAACATGTGAATACTCCCTAAATGTTCCTCTACATATTTATTATTATTTCATTCTGGTGTCGTGTCTTCTAGCAGTTTCACTAATAATGATGATGTCATAGTTGGGGATGGGATACTACTCCATATTTCTTCTAATTTAATCTTAAATGACCTTGGGATCACTTTATACCCTCTTCATTTTTTGTATAAATTCACTGAAGTAGTTGTTAGTCTACACATCGATCACCATTAGCATATACATATTGTTGATGTTGCTAATACTACTGGTGCTACTTTTTGGTACTGCTGGGACTGGTGCTTGTGGTGCTGTTAGCGGTGGTGGATGTGGTGGTTCCGATGCTGTTGCTGCCACTATTGGTGGTGTCCCTGGTGCTGGTGTTGTTGCAGCTGATGTTCTGTTGTTGTTTTATTGTTATCGGTACTTATCAAGGAAAATCGTTATGTCTTTATTTAGGCGGGCCATTTCAAGTGGTTGCAAGTCTAACAGTTAACTATGGTGACACATTGGAAACTGTGTAAGCATTATCTATTTTATTTACTTATATTATCATATATCATTTTATCATATTACTTATTACAGCTTATCGTAGAAGGTCGACTGAAATTCAACTTAGATGATAATAATTATATGATATTCTCGACAGTCTGCCGTGATAAAACATTATCGAAGTTTTGTGTACCAAACTTATCAAGCGCAAGAGATGGCCCATATTTGTATGCAATGCCGCTGCTAGCTATCGGGACAGTTGAGACTATCGTGCTTCATTTACCTTCAAATGTGATTTATAATTAAAGAACAAAAATTACCATGGAGCTTTAGGTCTACAGTGAATCCCATTTTTTAAATGATACAAATTTAGTTAATACTAGCATGTACCCGTTCTACGCACAGCGTTAAATGAGTGGGGAAAGGTGGCGAGCTATGTAGTTGAATGTTTTATGGAAAATTGAGGAGGCACATATTAAGAATGTTAAGCTCACCTTGTCATTTGTTTTCTGAAGGACCAGTTTTGGGTGAGTTTCTCTGCTGTATAATCCTTGTGAGGAATTAGTTTACATTTTGATAGATAGGGCCTGCATTGGATTACCCTATTTTAGGTAAAAATGCAACATTATATAGTTGGACATAAGAAATATTTTTCTTATGATTGGAGTAGGTGGATCTAGGCCTGGGCCTGTAACAAACAAAATAGGCTGTGGAAATTGTTACGACGGTTTATCCTTATGCAAATTGTTGTTGATTGGTATTTAATTTTATTTTTGTATTTGAACCATATTTAATAAGGTATTTCAACCATATTTTACAAGGGTGATCCATCCAGCAGAATCTGATCATTAAGCAACCCTCAAATTGGCGGAGCTGGCTTGACCCTAAACCTAAACTTCAGTCTCGCTATCTTAATTCACTATGGCATTACGAAAGAATTTCTATACCGGCCCGGGCCTGTCTCTTATACACATCTAGATGTGTATAAGAGACAGGTGTATTGTATC